ATTTTGGGGAATTTTGGGGGAGTTTGGGAACATTTTTGGGGGGATGGAACAGCCGAACCCCCCCCTCCTTTATCCCCACATGGTTCATCCCGACCACGCCCCTTTCCCTTTTTAGCCACGCCCCTTTCCCCATTCCCATCAATAAACCGCGTTGTGGGCGTGGCTTAAACCCCTCATCCAATCACCGCCGAGCGTGGGCGTGGTTTAAAGCACGCGCACCGCGCGGGGGCGCGGTTTGGAGCTCTCAACCAATCACCGCCGAGCGGGGGCGTGGTTTAGGGGATTCCAACCAATCAGCGCGCGYTGTGGGCGTGGTCAGGGCGCTTTTTAAGGCGGCGCAGCGCGGGGGGGGGCCCCGCCCGAACCCCGAGATGTCCGCGAGTAACGAGAGCCGGTGCGAGGGGAATTGGGGTGGGGGAGGGGTTAAAACCGGTACCGGGACCAAATCGGGACCCAATCGGGACCGGAATCACCGGGAGGGGGAGGGGAACCCGAAAAAACCGCGAAAAACCGGGAAAAACCGCGAAAACCGCGCGGGAAATGGGGAGAAAGGCGCCATTTTCCCGCCCCGAACGCGCTTTTCCGCGAAAATCCGCGCGGGATTTTTCCGCTCCCGCCACCTCGGCCTTTCCCGCCACTCCCGGCGCGGTTTTTCCGGTTTTTTTTCCCGGTTTTTCCCTTTTTTTTTCTCAGTTTTTCCGCAGATTTTCCCCGTTTTTTTCCCCGGTTTTCCCCCGGTTTTTCCCGGGTTTTTTCCTCAGTTTTCCGCCGATTTTCCCCGGTTTTTTTCCCCGCTTTTCCGTCTTTTTTCCCGGTTTTTTCCGTGGTTTTTTTCTCGATTTTCCACCGGTTTTTCCCGGTTTTTTTTTCCCGCTTTTCCGCCGGTTTTTCCCGTTATTTTTTTTCTCGAATTTCCACCATTTTTTCCCAATTTTTTCCCGGTTTTTTCCCGGTTTTTTCCCGGTTTTTCCCTTCCCTTCCCCCTCCCCCGCCCACGTGGTCGGCGCCGCGCGCGCGCCTCCATTGTCCGGGAACGCGGTGACGTCACGCGCGGCGCGGGCGCTGATTGGCTCTCCGCTACCAAAAATCCGGAAGTGGGCGGGGCTTAATCTCATCCGACTTCCGGTGGGGCCGCGTGGTTCGAGAGGAGGGGGAGGGGAAGGAACCACTTCCGGTCACGTGGGAGATGTCGCGACACTGGGGCGGTGACGTCACGATAACCGGGATATGGAGGTTGTGACGTCACGATGTCGTCATTCCCCGCGCAGATCCCGCGAGAGCGGCCCCGAGGGGATGGAACCGGACGGGGTGATCGAGGT